AAAATAAAAATTAAAAAAAAAAAAACCCTAATTTTAAAATGGGCCCTTTTTTTTTTTTTTTTTTTTTTTTTTTTTTGCTTACAAATAAAATATTTAAAGATAACAAACAAACGAAAAAATTGCGCAAAACTAAACTTTGAGGTTAACATAATAGGATTAAATAATGGCATCATCAAATGCAAAAAAAATGAAATTCAATGAATAATACACTCAATTACAAAATTATTATTGCAAAAAAAAAATCATAATCGGATTTAATGCTGGATGTTCAATTTTTTTTTTGTTTTGTTTCAGGAACCTGTTTATTTGAGCTAACACTTAATCTAATCATAATTTGCAATAACTTTTTTATTTCAATCATTTATTTATATACTTACATCTTGGAGTTGGTACAATCGGTGCATGATGATCAAATGTTGAAACGACTATTTGAAGTGGGATAGAAAGAGAAAATAAAAAGAAATTAATTGAAAATTAATACTGATGTGACAAATTAAAAAAAAATGGACATGAATGAATACAGAATCATAACAGAATAATATGCTTATTTCGTGATTATAACATCCAGCCATACACACTTAAAAAGACAAGAAAAAAAACTAGCATCAAAGAAAAAAAAATGATGAGCAAGTGTTTTTATGTAAATTAAATTATAACACAAATGTTATACATTCGATACGGTTGTATTATTGTCTTAAAGAATAAAAAAAATTGACCAATTTTTATTTCTTTTCTATTTTTGGAATTTATTTATTTTGGAACAAAAATGTCTATATATAAAAATTCGAATGATTACTAATGTGAATCTGTACGTGTGTGTGTGTGTAAAAGTGAAAATAACCATTTTGACGACAAACTCGATGAACATCATCATCATCATAACAAAAGTATATGGAATTCCATCACTATTCTATGTCTTATATGGGTAATATAATGGAAAATTAGATATGCTCAGGCAAGCAAAAGAAGCCAAGATGGTCATACACATACACACAAAGTTAGACGACAGAATTTCTTGAATTCTTTTACTCGTTTATTTCATTTTCAAACATAAATAGCAATAGTCATCTATTTTTTTGTTTGTTTGTTTGTTTGTTCATACCAAAGTTTCAAACATGGTTTTTCTTTTTTTTTTCACTAAGTTTGTTTGTTTGAAAAAGCTGTGGCTCAGAAAAATTCTTTCTCGATTTCGGTAGAATCAAAGAATGATGATGATGATGATGGCTCAGCTGGCAACGGTGTGCAATCAAGTCTAATGGACCATATTCTATTGATGTGTGTGTAATGTATTATGATTCTCATTCCCATCCGCGATCATCATCATCATCATCATCATCAACAAACATAGCTTAATATATTTTTGTCGTCCCCTATTTTCCAATACATTCGATGTCTGATTATATTATAGAGATGAAAACAGAATAAATTGTGTGAAGACACAAACAGGGAGAGAGAGAGAGAGAGATACAAATTCATTTTTATTATTACCAGCTATATTTCTAGTGACAGACAAATGAAAATAAATTAAAGATAAGAAAAAAAAACTTGAAACCCGATATTGATGATTATAAGTGTCTATCGAATTGATCTTAATGATTTTTCTAAATAATAATAATAATCATCATCATCATCCAAAAAATATCATATGCAAAAGTATTATTTTACCTAATGATGGACATTAGTGGATAATATTATCATCAATTGAAATTATCATATAAATTATTATTGATAGAATTTTATACTTACGTTTTTTGCCCTCCATACCACAGCTACGATATTCTAAAGTATCACAGTCAGATGGTTGTTTTTTATTGCAATCCTCATTGTTCCTATTGAGATAAAGAATGAGTAAAATTAAAAAGTTGTAAAAAAATATTGCATTATAATAGAACAAAATATTTAAAAAATAACATTCATGATCATCGGTAAGAAAAACAATAATTTATCTGTCAAAATGATCAAATAGATTGATGATGACATAATGGAATATTCATTCGAAAACATATATAAAATGAAGAAAACAGTTTTCAATGATGATATGATCAGTATCGAATTGAACCCGATAATGAAACGAATCAAAATAAATTAACACTTAAAAAACATTAAAGGGTTCAAAGAGTGTTTTCTTCAGATGCCATTTATGTTTGAGCAATGTATTCGAATCTATGATTCTTATTTCCAAAAGAATGGGATGTGTTGAAAAAACAAATCAGCAAAGGCAATCTATCGAAGGAGTAAATTGTATCATATAATGTTTTAACGAGTAGGATAACTTAATTTCTAATCAAATTAAATGAAATTTAGCTTTACTTGATTTTTTCGTTTTTTTTCTGCTATTCATTTTTGGATGCTTAAACGAAATTCAACAGAAAATCAATAGAAAGTGTGAATAAAAGAGAAAAAGCTTAGCTTTGTGATTCAATCAAAATCGAAATATTTCATAATGAATCATTCGAATGATTCGAAAGAATCACATCTCTAGAGAGTTATTTTATAGCTACCTATTCTAGTTTTCTAGCTGAATCAAATATCAATGAATTTTTTGCATGAATGTTTTATTTTTTGGATTTAAAAATAACACAAAAATGTCATTTCAGCAAATTAAATAATTTCTTCATGCTTTCTATAGATGGCGTTACTATTTTTTTTTTCACTTACTTTTTCAAATAAAACAAAACCAAACTGATAATGAATGTAGCGATGACGATCAATAGAATAATACCAACGATAATTATACGTGTTTGGACGGATTCATTGTCACCGGAAATATATGCTAAAAGAAATAAGAATGAAAATTATTAAAAATTAATTTATTAAAATAAAATTTAAAATTCATATGCTATAAACAAAAAATTTTATTTTTCCAGAAAACATTTTCCTTCTCATTTTACAGCCATTCACATTAATTGATTCTTGCAAAATGATGATTTTTTTTCAGTGAAAAAACAATGCAAGTCAAGAATCATTAGCTTAATGACCTTATTTTTCAACTAAATTAACTTTAAAAGTTTGAATATTTTTTTTGGATAGTTTTGATAGATGAAAGGATAAAGTCTCATATTTCTTTTCAATTGTTTGTTCATTTTAAAATAATTTTTCATACAAACACACACACACAGATATGCTCTGTTCTGGAATTTCGCTGTTATTGTTATTCAAAGATTTATATCGAAAGATTCAATTTACAAAGATTGAATTATTATGATTTTCGTAGAATTCCATTAACTTCAATTCAGTGGGATAATACCAAATGCTTTCCACGCATTACAAATGAAATAATAAAATAAACTTTGTTTAGTTATTGAATAGAATAATAATTTAAAAACAGGAAAAGAAAAAGGCTTGACCATGGAAGTGTGGATTCATTAGTGAGAACAGAGAAAAAGAAACCATAACGAAAGGGTTAAAATGGAACAAAGATAGAAATTGGTGTGAAGTTTGCTGAAAACATTTTACATTCAAAGTCACGTGCTGATCGATTGATGCATAAGAAAATAAAGGAAAAAATGGCGAGAGAAGTATACACAATGAAACAATGATGAATGAAAAAAAAGATAGAAGTTTGATTCAATCCAATTTGATTCGAATAAACACACACAAATGTAGCGAGCACAAAATTGTATTCATGAGATCCAAGAAAATGTTCAATAAAGAAGATTAGCAAATAAATAAATAATTAATCGAATTAAACATCGTCGTCGTCGTCGTGTCGAAATCGATTCGTCGAAAGTATAGCAAGACGACGACCACTAAAATTGATAAATTATTGAACTGAATCAATCAGACAATAGAATAATTTCTTTTGTTATTATTCGAATAACTCGTTGACATGCGGTCGAACATACACACATGCTAACACCAGAAATTCTGATTAGAAACAAAATAATGGCTGTATGCTGAATCCTTTCTATAGAATGAAATAAAACTAGAATGCGAATGGCTTATAAATGATAAGTAGACAACAACAACAACAACAAAATAGCCAACATTCATTGGCTTAATTGTAAACATGAAAATGATGTTAATACATAGAAAGATGATCAAATTATACGTACCAGGATTAGCAAGACGTTGTCCAGTCATTTTCATTAATGGTTTACTGAATTCGCTCCAACCAGTTTTTGTTCGGCTACGAATCTGTATTTTTTTTTGGAAAAAGTGATAAAAATAAATTAATCAGATAAATTCAGAATATTGTATTAATTCGAATAGGCAAAATTTTAAATGGATTTTTTTAAAAGAAGGATTTAAAATGTAAAAATAATTGCATTCATCAAAACAATTTATAATAATGATGATGAAGCAACTAACCATAGGTGATATATGATTATTGTATTTATTTTTTGTCAAGAAAAAAAAACACGCCACATTACAATCCAAAATCATTGAAAGAAAAAAAAAATGAATTATGAAGATGATGAAATTAAAAATTAAACAATCAATTTAGGTGGAAAAAAACAGAATCTCAACATCTTCCATATTCTTTTGACAAACACACACATACACACACACATAAACAATTTATTGGATTTAAAGTTAGTGAAGCATTTCAATTTCATTTATTCTACGATGTTCAGTGGTGAAGTGAAATGAAAAATTTTAACTAAAATAGATTTGTCTAATGGTCAGTATCGGATGGCTCTAATGTACCGATGGAATACTTGTACATTTTGCACAAACAAAGTAAAAATAAAGCAGAAAATAAAATTCTTTCCATATATTCTTATGCTAAACAATTTCATTTTTTGAAGTTTTTCTTTTGAAATAACTTTCCGTTTCCGATTTAGACGAAATTAAATTTGGAATGCCTTTTTTTTCCTTGGAAAACTTGTTTCATTAATCAATAAAATTCTTACCTGAAAAACATATTCTGTTTGTGGTTTTAAACCGGTAATAGTTGTTTCAAATTGATCTTTCGAAACTAAAATTGATGAACTATTTCTTTCAATATCATTGGAATGATAACGTAATTCATATGCAGTTATTTCATTTGCTGGATCATTATTGCTATTATCATTTGGATTACGTTTCCATGCAAGCGATATTTGTGTTCCATCTGCAGATGTGATACGTAATATTGGTGGATAGATAGTTGTCGCTGGTATAGCTAAATATAATCACAAAAAAAAAGACAAAAAGAAAATTTGATTAATACAAAATTTAATAATTAGAATTCGAAATGGTGTAACAAGAAAAAAAATACAAGTAACATTTGGCCACTGATGATTTGATTTTGTTTTGTTTTTGTTTTTTGCTATCGCTTCAAATTATTCAAATGAGAGCAAATAAAAGAGAAAAAAGAATCGACATAACGGATTCAGATGAAACAAGTTAGATTACTTTTAATATGAATGCTAATTAAACATTGCGAAAAGGGATTTAACCAATGTAGTCCGAATTGGAAAAAAAACAACAACGCCAAAAACAACAGCAGATAGTAGTTTTTTTCTGGCAAAAGTGTTGTAATGAAAAAAAAAACAAACGTTGGGACACAATGTGAATGTGATTTGCATAACTCATTTGAGTTAGAAACAAAAAAATATTTTCATAAGTCTGTAATGGAATATTTTGGATTTAATTTGGTAAGATGGTATATGGTTATATGGTTTTTTTCTTGGATACCATTGATGTGGAAAAAAAGAGTTTATTCCTCATGAATCGTGATGTGTATAATTTTAATTAGATCCAATACATTGTGTATGTATGTTTGTGTTCGATTTGCTATCTTGATCAACATTTCATTTCATTCATTTATTCAGATTTTCGACGGCCAATTAATCTCTACATTAAAATTCTGACATGAAAATTGTTTTTCTATTTTTAATAATTGGGAAAAATAACCTGTTACAACTATTTCATCAATGTTATTATATTGTTATACGATATTGATGATTAGATGTTAAGCTTATATGAAACAAAAACAACAACAACAACAAAATTAGTCTAGAGACTTTATGTTTCAATCTTATTTCTATATTTTGCTTATTATCATTATTATTGGCAATGCAAAATACAAAATTTGATCAACATGCAAATTTGGATTATGTTTTTTTTTGCCTTTTTCATTGATCATTATTAATATTCTATAGATGTTATGCCAATATTCAAAATCATCATTCCAAACACATAGTGAATGAGAGAAAAGTTAGTTTTTTTGTTGTTGTTGTTGTAATAATAAAGAAGTGGATCAAAATCATAATTAATCTATTTTGATTATGAAATGAAACGTAGATCAAAGAATCTATATGATAAAAATCTGGATTATCAAAAAACGTATAGCGGATTGTATGTGCATGGAGAATGAGATTCTAAAGTAGAAAAGAAATGAATTTGCATTTTTTTCACATTTCTGTTAAAAAAAAAAATAAAACATATAATGATGACAACGGATGACGATTGAAAAACAGAATTTTCTTCTTTTTTACTTGTACCAGAAAAGAAAAAATGAAAATAAATTCCAAGTAAAACTAGAATTTGTTATAACAAACAGCAGCAGCAGCAGCAGCTAACGAACGTCAGTACAAAATACTCTAAAGCACATACAACACAATCATCATCATCATTATCATTTTAGTCAATAAATTTCTGAAGAGAGTGAAAGAAAAAAAATTGAAGAATAGGAAACAAAACAAAAAACGAAGTCATTTTCAAACGGGAGAATTTTTTTCCAGAAAAAAGTTGAATTTTAAATTCTATATTGCCTCAGTTGATAGTAACGGTAATGAACACAACACAACACAACGATAATGTTGATGCCGAAACAAAACAAAAGAAACCTAAAACACAGTGAAAGAAAAAAAATCGAACAAAATGAAGATGATGATGCCATGGTATTTGTGAGGAAATGATTAAAGACTGTATAAAGACCTCGAAATACTAACAAACCGTTTTTCAACAAAAAAAAAATCATCGAAGAGGACACTGAACTAAAAAAAACAGAAAACAAGAATTGAACTCGTGATCGAAATCATCATCATCTGGAAACAAGAAAAATTTATTAGCATTTAGCTCAAGGCACATTTTTTTTAAATTCTGGGAGTCTTTTTATTTCTGGTTCATTTCTTCGATATATTGAACAAGAAAAATAAAGAATAAATATACGAATTTTTTTCTGTTTTCAAAAAACATTATTAACATTTTGTTTGTATCTAATTTACGAAGAATTCATTTGTGTGTGTGTGTGTGTGTTTGTGTTAATAAGAATAGAGGATAAACATTATCAATGTTGTCTAATAAATAAAGCCTGAATATAAACACACAATCGAATCGATCATGATTACAGAAGTTTGATGACAAAACAAAAAGAGACTATGAAAAAATTAAATTAGAATCTATTTTTGAAAGTAAATTTTTCAAAAAATAAAATATGAAATTAATTTTGTTAATGTTTGATTTTTTTTTCATCTTTGAAAAAAAAGTTTTACTATATATGGAATGTGCCCAAAAATTGTGGAATGTGAATGAAAATTAATGATGGTACTTACCGTTATATTTTTGTCCCGAACTGTCTTCAGTAATAACCAATGAAATGTATCCTAATAATAATAGGAAACAAAAAATAGATTAGTTATTTCGGAATTAACAACAATATTGACAAATAAAAAAAGGCAAAATGATAAAGATAATAATGAATTGATGGCCGACAGAATAATACCCAATCGATCTGATATAGGAATATTCATTGCAATGTGATACACACACACCAATGAAATGTCTGTCTGTTACTAACGGATCTATTAATTTTTCCTGACTATTTTTCCAAAATCAAAATAAAACAAACAAAACATTTCGTTTTTGTTTGTATGTTTATCAGAATGAATCGTTATTGTAAATCAAGTATAAATTAACAATTTGTCTATTAAAAGAGTATATTTATTTGTTGTTGTTTGTTCTTTTTTTTCCGGCAAAATGATATGAGATTGGACGAAAATCACCAACAACAACAAAATGATACTTGATTATTGTATTTTTAGCGCTTGACTGTCACCAACTTCATCAACCATCATTGGTTTATTAGGATAAAAAACTATACTGATTGTGAAACAGCAAAAAAAACAACAGGCTTGATCCATTAATTATTCTTTCTTGTTGTCTCTTCAATTTTTTTTTTCACTTTTCCCCGAAAACAACAAAGAGATTCATTCACTATATTACGGTGAATACCGAAAGAAAGAAAGAAAAAATAAATGTAATTCGAAATCAAAGCACATTCGCATTAACAACATTGAAAAAGTAGAAAAATACAAAGACATGTCATTTTGATTCCGCGATTCTTTTCAAGTTTTCATTCAATATATATGTGACTAAACTTGAAAAGTGATAATATAATATTGATACTCCATATTATATTTAAAAAAAAACGTTAGAAGCATTATTCTATAGAGATTGTGGTAGCATTCAATGTCAAATTATAATTAAAATTTATTGCAATTATACTTCTAAAAACAACAGTAGAATCAAAGTGCAACTTTGATGAACAATAAATTAATGCCTATAGTCTTTTCTAGCTTTTTCTGTTTTTGGGCTTGATGTCTCAAACACCTCACCATCACACATTAAATGAAAATTCTCATTTTTTCCAATTTTCTTTCATTTCATCTACACTGTTTAGACTGGAATTTGATGGCGACTAATTGCCTATAAAAATCCTAAATAAAAACAAGAAACGAGCACATCATTGATAATGATGATACCACTGGATCATAATGGACTATTCTCCTTACTTAATGGTTCAATTTAGTTGAAAAAAAATATAAAACTAAAATTTGCCACATTCACATTAATTCGATGTTTAAAATAAAATTTTTGCCTACCTGAAGCCTCAGTAGTGGCTGTTATTTCCACAAATTGGCTACTATCATAACCGGAAACACCATTTTCAGCAAAAACTTGAAATCTATATGAAGTCATTGGATTTAGACCAGAGATTACAACTCTAGTATCATTGATATTCTCTTGTGAAGGAACATAATTGGTTGATGATGGACAATAATCGCAATCAATACGATAAACAGTATCATTTCGACCGCCCAAAAATTTCGGTTCATTCCAATGCAAAATGACTGTTGATTGATCCAAAAAATTTATTGTCAGATTTTGTGGTGCTGATGGCGGTTCTGTTGTATGAACAAAGAGAAAAACAAAAAAGTTATAATATTCAATAATTCATTATAAATGATAGTTATTTTTATACTTACGTGTACATGGCATCCATTTGGGATCTTTGGGTGCTCGATAATAACCAGCATCACAACGACATTCAGTCGAACCATGATATGATGATTTGCTATGTGCTGGACATGACTGACATAGTTCATCACCAACAATTGGCTTGAATTTTCCGGGCGAACAAACTTCAGTAAACAAAAAAAACAAATGTGATTAGAATCTAGAGCAATTAGTTGGAAAAGAAGTTGGCCCAATCGTGGTCATTATTTAGAAATTTGAATTAGCATTTCGATTGCTCAATAACAGATAAACAAGAAAGCAAAAAAAGATGCAGATCACGAAAAAGAATGATTCAAAGTAGTATGTATACGATTCATATGGAAAATTGATAGTGTAAACCCTGCCAATATGAAAAACGATTACAACTACAAAAAAACCAATTTGATTGAAAATTTTCAACTATAATTTCTATTTGACCGATGTAAGCAAACGATGGTAATTACGGACAAACTGACTGATGTCTATGATTGATTGCTTAATCGATTTTAATGAAAAAAAATAAGCGCAATTCGAATTGTAGATATTATTATGACATTAGTTGGACACAGAATGATGAGAATTAATCACCAAGAAGAACAATTAAATGCAAATTTAAATTTAGTTGACCAATTTTAATTGAGTTATCCAACCTGATGACAATTTATAATTTTGTTGAATTTAACTCACCTTGACATGACTGTCCCATTGGTTCATATCCAGGCATACATTTACATCCACCCGAAGGCAATGTCCAATTTCCATCTCCTTTACATAATAATCTGGGAATTTCTACTTGCTGTGAATTAGCAACACAAACACCATCCGTTTCAACTATGGTAGTTAATTCTCGGCCAGTAGGTGTCTCCGGATAGAATGCAAAATTGGTTGTAATATTTGGACAAGTTATGTAAAAGATTTTGATAGCAATGATAGATAGACAGGCGCCTTGATCTCGGAATGCAAAATAGACACCTTTTTTAGTGACTGGAACGCTTCGTATTTCGGTGTTTATTATCACCTGCATCAAATTTGATGAAAGAAAAAAGAAGGTTAGATAAAGTGAACAAGATTCATTAATAACAATTTTCTAATCAAGATTATGTAATTTTTCTCTCTGTTAAATGATGAATGGAGTGTTAATTTTTTTTGTGCTATTTATTGTATTTGGTCAAACAACAACAGTAAAACATAAATTGAATTCATTTCCGAAAAGTTCTGTGTTTTGTGTGATGATGACAACTCAAATCATGAACATCCGTCGAATTTGTACATACCTCACTATTCGAAGTGAAACGTCCTTCATCAGCTGCAATACGATCAATAAGTTTGTAAGATTCTGGTTCCCATGGTGGTGGTTCTTTGTTAAGACCATCATGTTCGTAATAAAGTAACGAAAATGTTTCTTTACATGAAAGTGCCATTCCTATTGATGTGTTATGGTAACAAAAAGAAATTTATTGTATTGTTTGAAAAAAATCATTCTTTTTAATTAAACAAAAATTTGTATACCTGGAAATAGATTGCAATCACGCATACTGAATTTGATTTCAATATAGATTCTATTTGCATTATGTCTTTCAATAAATGGCGTCCATAGCCAATTATTAACATTATTATAAGCAACATCGCATACAACATATGAACGCCAATTGATGCCTTGTTCGAAATTTGTAAAGCTCTCTTCAACCCACTGAATCAATAAATAAATAAAATAATAAAAAAAATTACACATCCAAATATTGATTTCAACAAAAAAAAAAAAAAAAATAAAAAAAAAAATAAGAAGATTAAACTTACGCCAGGTGTCCGTGCTTGTGGTCCATATGGAAGACGAGTCCAGTCTAATGAACTTTCTTGTGTGGTATCCAATAGAACCACTGAAAAAATTATTGATACGTGCCATGGATAGTTTAGGGAATGAAAAATGAAAAAAAAGAAATGAAAAGAAATGAAAGTTAGCAATTTTTAGTAATAAAAATTGAGAAAAACAAATATTATGACAGGACAATCATTATTATCATTATTATTATTAAACATCATTAATTATTCAATAAGATAAAAAATGTAGTACAATGTATACGAAAAAAATATAAATATCAAGTCAATTTGGAAAAAAGAAGATGAATTTTAAAGTTTATAATATTTTTTGAAATGGAATCTGGAAAAAAATGGAAAAACCAAATCGAATGGCAATGAACATGGATCAATCCAAAAATTTTTCATTTAAAATCAATTATTTATACATATTTTGGTTTATATTATGGAATAAAAAACGAAATCCATGTGACAAGCGAACAATTTGTTCACTATTATCATTTTGGTTCAACATCTGTGAGATAATTTTAGTGGATTCAATAACGATTATTATTTTTTTTAAAAAGAAAAAAAATTCCTATTATGAATAAATTATTATTTGATTTAACCTTATATTTATTGAATGGATGATGATAATAGTCAAACTACATTCTAAATCCACATAAATGTGTGTCCATTACAAACACACACACAGAAAAAACTTTTGAATCATCATCATCATTTAAACAGCCATTAAAAAGTAAAAGCCCAATCCAAATCAAAATTTTCCATATATGTAGATTTTTGGAACATTATTGATTAAATAAATAAAATTATAAAGGAATGTATGTGAATGTATGGAACAAACCTCAAGCATATAAACGGTATATTCAATATTCAAACACATTATTTAAAAACGTTTTAGACATTCCATTCATACCATATATACAAATGGTAATTAAAATCGAAGAAAAAAAATACAGGGCAAACAATAATAATGATCATGATCGCATATATTGGGCGGAAAATGAGGATCGTAAAGAAGAAACAAAAAAAAAAATTACTCTTCGGAAGCCTAAATGGCAAAGTTTTTGTCTTCTCATTCTTTTCATCACAATCATGATATCCCTTTTTTTTGTTTAGTTTTTTTTTATGCAAACCCTTTATTGTATAGCGGTTATTATGTTGGGGGTTAATTAAAATTTTATTATTTGCACGCTAGAATAAACAAACAAAAAAAATCATTCCATCCATCCATTAATTCAAAAGAAAAAGAATAAAAAAGTTCAATACATTACGAGACAAAATTAAACGCTAATCTATTGAGTAATTAAAGTAAATACTGAAAAAACACTTTGAATATAATTTACCAATGGCTATATGGTTATTTATCATAATCATCGTAAATGATTGTATACAATTTTATTTCTAGTGTTAGAATACAAATCAAAATTAAATTGATAATAATGTAAATTATATCAGCCACCTTTTTTTTCAAATAACAATCATGATGATGATGATGATAATGATGAAACTAAGGCAAATAGATAAAATGCCAAAAGAAAAAGAAATGTAGTGAAAGAGAGCCTAGGAAAAATGCAATAAATCACGTTAACGTTTGAAAATCGTATTTGATGAAAGAAATGAATGTGAATAAACGATAGTTGTTGATAATAGCATTCATTCAGAAAGAAAAACATAACGAAAACATCAACAACAATAACAACAGCAAGAATTCTAATCAGTGTGTGTGTTTGTGTATGAAGGAATTTTATTGTGCATAAAAATACATAATATACATTGGTACAATTCATTCTATTGTCAGTGTCTGTGCGGATGGTTGTACGAACGAATGCATGATGAATCTTGATCCTGAAACGACTAATGATTTTTTTCTACTTGTTTTTCACTACTTTACGTTACTTCGGTATTGGAATAGAAAATGCTTTTCATCATCAAACTTCTGGCAGTGGTGGTGTTAAGCTACTGATTTTAGGCTATGTTGTTGTTCATTAATTTGGTTTTCGTCAACATCGATGAAAAACAGAAAAAACCAATGAAAAAAATAAATAAATAAAAAGTTTTTTGATTGCAACCCAAATGATCCAATGGACTCTCAACATGGCTTTTTTTAGTTTTCAACAACAACAACAACAACAACAGGAACAACAAATTCAAATCGATCCTTATGCCCATCATTCCAACAACAACAACAAAAAAACCAACAACAATCGAAAATGATTCGACTCCTTGTTATGATGCTATGAATTTTCTTGAACTTTTATGATGAAATTCAATGGGTACTTTTAAGCTATTTTATTAAGTTTATGTGTGGCAAAGTTTTCTGTTGTTGTTTGTTATTCTTCATAAAGAATAAAACCACAATCAAATTAGTAAACAGAAAGAGAGAGAAAGAAAAAACAGGGAAACTGGAATCTGGTTCAACTATCTCCTATATATGTATGGCTCTAGCATTTTTTTCATTTTGATTATGAAAAAACTTATTTTGAAACTCTATGATCATCAAAAAAAAAAGAGCAGCTACAGTATTCGAAATGTATTTATATAAACAACAACAACAAGGCCACATAGTTTTACATTGAAATTTGTTTCGTTCCAATATTCAAGATTAAAAGTAGATTTTCTTTCTTTTTTTTTGCTTCTTCATCAACAAACAAATAAAAGGATCGAATGACGAACAAACGGGAGAAACAGGAAAAAATTGAAAACAGAGCAACATAAATTTTGAACAAAATAAAATGAATCACATTCACAATTCATATAGCAAAACAATCGATTCGATGATATTTTTTTTTTATTTTGGTACATAATAACGATAGAGTTGATGTGTGTATGTTTATGTGGGTGCCGAACGAGCTATCGAATATTGAATTTTTATTTAAATCTTTGAATTTCGTTTCCCATATCGAAGAATGGGAAAATGTTTGTGTGTGTATGTATCTGGTCTGGTCTAGTGTCTGATGTCTCTGTCGGTGGTAAACAGGCTCGTTTGATTGAACGAGAGAAAATAAAAAAAAAAGTTTAAATGCCAAAATCAATTTATTTTATTGAATTTTTGTTGTTGTTGTTGCATTCTTTTTTTTTGTATACAAAAAGAAAGTCCAAGCGTTTATCAACAAACATCCTTTAAAACATTTATTTTTCTTTCTTTTTCAGATATAAAAAAATACACAATCATTCAGGAATTAAGAATATGAGTGAATAAGAGAGAATTTACGGAACACAAAAATATTTGGTAATTATTTCAAGCAAAAGAAAAAAAATAGAACAAAGTTCAAAGTACCATTTTTTTTGTTGCTTAACGCCTACTTGGTTGACAAATATTTTGTCAAACAGCAGAAGAATAATAATAATATTTTTTTTCGTTTAAACATCAATAAATAATAATGTAATAATGTATTTACAAAAACAAGAAAAAACTAATTCATTCACAAGAATTTTTCTCTTTCTCTCTTTCTCTCTTAAATCCATAAAGCAACACTGGAAATGAAAAAAACTTGGCAACAATGGCAATCACATACCCATGATAAACTGATGATGGATAACAAACAAAATTCGTAAATCATGTTCATCATCATCATCATGTACATAATCATAATCATGATGAAGATGTCATGATTATCTACTTTTTTTTGTTGTTGCTTTGATTTGAAAACAAAAATTCTATTTATAATCACTTACACTTTAGGAATTAAGAATTAGTAATTTGGTTTAGTTCGAAACAAATTCATCTATTACATTTTTACATACGAAAAGAAAAAATTTGTAACAGATACAAATTAGTTTCGAAGAATCTTTTTTTTTGAGCAAAATAAGTGTTTGCGTTAAAGAATCGAACATTATTGAAGCCTAATTATTTGAATTTTTGTACAACACACACATATGGAAAAATAAAGTGTCTTAAACACTTCATAAATGGATACATTTATTTTATTTTATTTGCCAATTTGTATATATGTAACATAAATCATCAAAAATGACATTTTGACACAAAAGAGAAAAAAAGAATCATTGATTATTGGTACTAGAATTTATTTCGCATATAGCTGAAGAGTTTAGTTATGAAATGAAAAGAACGATCATCATCATCATCCTTAAAATCTACGATTAAATTGGTTTTTCTTTTCTTTTTTTTTAAAATAATAATGGACAGGATAAACAAATGTGAAATCAAATTGAAGTCGATTTATAATGATGATGATGGTATCATTAATTTAAATTAGAAAGATATTTATATAACGGTGTGCATTAGCTGATCTTATGTTGTATATATGTTTTCAAGACAATGATGAATTCAATGAAGCTAGAACTTGTTTTTTTTCTGTGACAATTTTTCTTCTGCCAACTTGTAACCCAAACACACAGTAGGCCGAGAATATGAAGATAAATTGTAATTTTTATTTTCATTCTTTCTCTCAAAATCATATGGCAATTTTGGTGTTTGATAAAAATCGGAAATCACATTGAACAGTGTGTATCAGACACGTATTTTGATTTTCCTGTTTTTCATTTGCTACCAGGCACTAGGTTTGGATCGGGAAAATAATCCATCAAAGATACAATCAAATTTAAATGAAAGTCTCTTTTGCTATTTTGTTCCTGAAGTATGATGAACCATATATATTGTATTGACTTGATCAAACACCAATTTTTTTCCTTATGACCAAAATGATTGAATCAAATGGGATGGTCATCCATTCTATGAAATCCCGTTTTTTTTGTCGGAAACAAAAAATTGATGATTATGAATGGAAAGGCCAAAAATAATTCAATTCTTCTAGACCAAAAACAAAATAAAAAGAAGAATAGAACAGCAGCAGAATGTTTGTTTGTGATTACTTTTTTTCTGTGTGATTGCCATTGGTTTGGTTTTTTTTTCAAAAATACACAATAAGATTTGTATGGAAGGACAAATTCTATATCAATGTAAGCGAATGAATAGACTCGTCCAGAATGTACCAGAATGTTTTATAGCGATCGAATTATTTTTTTATTATATCAATAATACTAATATAAAGATTCAATATGACTGCAATTTATCCTCATCTTCATCTCATCATCG